TAACCCTACCTAAGGGCCACAGGGACCTGGCAGCCACTTCCTAGGAGCTGCAGTAAGCGCTGCTGGGACCCCATACCCCAAACCTCTGCCCCAGCCCAGAGTCCCCTCCCACATCCAAACTCCCTCCCGGAGCCCGCACCTCACACATCTCCCATGCCACAACCCCCTTCCCCAGCCCTGAGCCCCCTCCTGCACCCCAAGTACCTCATCCCTGGCCCCAGTCCAGAGCCCCCTCTCCCAACTGAAGCCCTCATCCCCCTCCCGCCAGGAGTGCCGCCAGCTTTTCTGCCGCCCTAGGCAGCGGAAGGTCCTGCCTCGAAATGCCGCCCCCCACAGAGGTGGTGGAAGGTCCCGCCGCTGAAATACCCCTGCAGTCGCCGCCCTCCAAATTGTAGTGCCCTAGGTGACCGCTTAGGTCGCCTAATGGGTTGCGCCGGCCCTGCCTCCCGCACCCCAACCCCCTGCCCGGTTAATGTGAGTGAGGAGGGGGGAGAGTGAGCGAGGGGGGGGATGGAGCAAACAAGGGGCGGGGTCTCTGAGAACGGGTGGGACAAGATTGTTCAGTTTTGTGCGATTAGAATGTTGGCAACCTTCGTTCTATTCCCAGCTCTGCCATTGGTCTTTTGGGTGCCTTTGGGTGACTTGCTTCCCCACTCTGTGCCTCAGTTTTCCCATCTGTAAAATTGGGTTAAAGCATGGGCTGGACTGGGTAAAACATCCTTCAGCCCTATGACTAGAACAGCATCAAGGCCCTGGAAAACTACAACTCCCAGCCTGTACCGAGAATCTTGGCCAATGGCTGCCAGCCTGAGGGCTGCAGCGATGCCTGCTGGCATTTGTAGTTCTAAATGGGATCCAGCCGAGAGCTACGGTGTCCCGCGGACTCGCTCACCCAACCTATTCTTGGGTCACAAAACCTCTCGCTTCCCCCCCGCCCATCCTTCGCAAGCCACTCCTTTATTTTGCCCAGGATCAGGAACGTTCACCTTCGGGGACCTCAGCTCCCACCAATCAGGGCTCAGCTTTCTTGGGGCAGCCCCTACAGAAAGCCTGAATATAACTAGGTCAATACTGCTACCAATCGCCTGGAATTTTTTATAATTATTTTGTAACTTATTTCGCGTATCTGTATATTTTTGTTGTCACGTCTATTATTAATTCTTCTAAAGACGCCTAAACCGGTCCTAGCTTTAGGGAGGGCACCCCCAGTTCGCCGCTCTCTGAGAGGGAACGATGCCGAGAGAAGACTACGACTCCCAGGGTGCGAGGGGCTTTTGAAGAGGCCCGTCCGTTTTATAGTCCAATCACAATGGGCGTTCTGACTGCGGGCCGGGGATTGTATCGAAGTGGCCTCTCTGAGCCAATCACTGTGAGGGGAGGGAGGAAGCCATCGAATGCGCAGGGCCAATTGTGTTCTGGCGATGGGTGGAGGCGTGGTTTATGTGTGGGGGGTGACGTGACGCGTCTTCTTCCAGCTCAGCGCGTGAAGGGGGGGACTTGGGGGGAGGGTAACGGCTCCGCTGGGTCTGCTCGCACCGCGCTGGAGATCGCCTCGAGACAGGGGCAGCGGCTGTAGCGGCTGGGCGCAGTCTCGGGGCGGCGGCGCGAGTGTCTGAACCCCCCGCGAGGCTCCGTCCCCCGGCCCGGCCGGCTCCGCCGCTCTCATCCCCCTCGGCAGCAGGCGGGAGGATGTGCCGCCGCCTCCTTGCCGGGGGAGGCAGAAGGGGGAGACGATGAGGAAGCCGCCCCGCCGGCTCTTGGCCCTGGGTTCCTGCCTCTTCTTCTGCTCCCTTCTCTGGTGAGTGGGTCCCTGAGCCCCGGGGGTGGGGGCTGAGCCGGGCTGGGAGGGGCGGTGGTCTCACACCGACTCCTCTTTACGCCGGACTCTATAGCCACTCCGAGCACTCCCCCATCCCGAGCCCCTTCCCAAATGGAGCATGGGGGTTGCATCTGTTGTGTATGGCGGACTCCCCACTCCAGTGGGGCCCTGGCTATGGGGGGTGACCTCCCCCACCTGTGCTGTGTATGGCAGGCTCCCCACTCCAATGGGGCCCTATAGCCCTTGGTATGGGGGGTGCCTTCCCCCACCCATGCTGTGTATGGCAGGCTCTGCCACTCGCATGAGGCCCTATAGCCCTGTATATGGGGGTCATCCTTCCCCACCTGTGCTGGGCTTTCCCTGCTTCTTCCTGGTCTTATAGCCCTGGGAATTACGGGTGTCTTCCCTTGTGCTGTTTGGTAGAATTCTCCACTCCCATGGGGCCCCGTAGCCTGGGGGGTTGGGGTGGCCTCCCCCCCCGTGCTGTGAGTGCTGGGTTCTCCTGCTCTCAGTCACCCAGGTTTCCAGAGGAGGTTTCCTTCCAGTTAGTCTCTCCTTTCTGTGGCGTGGATACCTCTTCCCACAAAGATCCTGTGCTGCCCCCATGACCTCCGGTGACAGGTGTGTTGACTTTCCTTCTCGGGGACACTGCGTTTAAATTGCTGTACCAAAAAGCAAGTCCCAATAATCAACTCCTATGTCTGCTGCATTCACGGTGGCAGGAGGAGCAATGCTAGTGTAGTTTAGAAAGTGCTATGGGGGACTTTTAGGATGGAAGACCTCGTCTAATCACAGAATGGGGTTGCGTCCCTGTTGCAGCTAGGGCTGAGCTTAATGGGTTACAAAGTGATTTAAGATCCTTGCTTGGGAAATATGCAGTATGCATGGGAAGGTATCTCTTCTCCTCCCACCCATTGTTTGCTTGAGGTGACCAGGAACCATCACCCCTTGTGAAGTAATTGACTGTTGTGTTTTTTAAACTCTGTGGAATTCTGCGAGTGACTTACAGCAATGTTTCTCATCCTTTTTGATACCAGGGACCAGCTTGCTGCCTTCCTAAACTGTCAGGAAAATCTCAGAGACCGGCACCGGTCCACGGGCTGGTTGTTGAGAAACACTGACTTACAGTACTAACTTTCATTTATCTATCTCACTTTTCACTTTGGCTGAATATCATTGTGGTGACCATGTCCTTTGACAGGGCTACCATATTTTCTTCATAGCCTGTTTGTAAAGAGTTTTGTGATCCTATGGCACCACCATCCTCTCAATACCTTAGTGTCATCTTCAACTCTGCTGCCTCTCTAGACCACACATTTAGTCGGTTTCAAATTCTTCCGGTTTCTTTCGCTAACATTTTTGAAATCCAGTTTTTCTTCTAAATTCATATTACTAAAACTCTCATCAAGGTCTGTATCTTCCATCCAGGCTACTGTAGCCTTTTTCCCCTCTGGCTTTCCTGACACCCATTTCCCACTGTGTGCCCCCTTACTCTTCAGATACATTGCAGCTAAAATAATCCTGTTTTGTTTTCTGATCATGTCACCCCCTTCATCACATCAAATGTCTTTTTGTCTTTAAATTTTAAAATTGTGCACAACATAGCCTGTCTGGTCTTCAAATCTTTGTGTCACATCCTGACCTGTTTGCTGTCAATTATGCCAGCCTCTATTTTTCCCCACAAGCACCTTTGTGCTTGCTTCTTTATGCATGGAATGTACTTCCTGAACTAGTCTGTAAAGCTTCTTCCATTTCTTTCCAAGTCCTTGAGGTCCACTTCTGCTGTAATGCCTAAGATAAGGTGCCAACCAATAATGACTAGACAACTGACTCACAGGGACTTCTAAATTTTTTTTTTTTTTAAAGCTGTGTATATATGTGGCCTGTTAATGTGATCTTGCTATTTCCTTTGGCCTCTCTTCTGTTGTTCCAACAGTGTCATCTTGTTCTATATTATTGTAAGCTTTTGAGGCAGGGACTGTCCTTCTGCTTTTTTTTTTTAAGTGCTATTGCTATGTAGAAGATAAAATAATCTTGAAGCTGCAAACAGAAATAAATAGGAAGCAGCAATACATGTAGAGAGAGAATGGGGTAGACTTCACAGAAACCTGTGGAGAAGGTGGTAAATGCACACCTCATGTGGGATTTTACTGAATGTTGAGGGAAAGTGAGAGAATTTGGGGACGGGATATTTCCATGTCTTCCTTTCCAGTTTCATAAATAATCACTGGACTGACTTAGTCGCTTGCTTGTCACATTTCACGTATGACTGCCAGAGGAGTGTCACTCTGTAGCCTCCTCACATTGATGCCCCCAAAACACCCAAAAAGCACACGTTAGAAGTTCTTTAAGAAGTTGCAAACTTATGTTGAAGTAAGATTTTTTTTGGTATATATTTTTGCTGCCAGTCAATCTTGTAGACAGTTACTGTCGGTATGAGCTCTTGGAAGTTATCGCCAGTGGATCATTGCTTTCATCTTCCTCTGAAATCTATTTCATTTTGGTTACTTTTTTGAAGGATAACTGGTGATGCCGGATTCTCTTTTAAAAACAAATTACTTCTTAAACCACTGAGCTTCACTTTTTGAAAAATCTTAGAATGAAAAAAAATCAATATAGCATTTTTGTACTAAAACTGTAAGGGGGTTCTCTACTTGAACAACCTACAAACATTTAGAGAATTAACAGGGCAATTAACAGGCATTGTTGTAAGAGATCACAGTGCACAGAGTGCTTCATTGTGTAACATTGTAAATATTTTGCTGCTTGTGAAAACAAACATTAAGTATCTGTAAATGGACAATACAGTATGATTAATAGCTGAGGGTCCAATCCTACAGTTAACTCCATATGGGTGGACTCGTGGGTAGCTCCTTGAATTGCATTTCCCCGGGGGCATGGGAGTCAGCCTGAGAAGTCAATTGTATGATTGGGGTTCAAGGTTTCTAACTCTACCAGAAAGCATTGAGGCAAACTGTACTAATAGCTTAAAGCATTTCTAGCACAAATCTCTCAGCTCATCCCTTTTTTAAGGTTGTGGGGTGAAATTCAGTAAGAATCTAGCAAATAGTTTAGGTTGTTGGAAGATGAGAATTGTTATAACCATGTTTAAACATTCAGTTGCCATTAGCTTTTCATACACAGATTTGACCTATCGAGCAAAACTGTAATGGGGTGTTTTAATTGTTTCCACAGGGGTTTTTATCCATTAAACAATTAAGATACTTAATAAAAGTAGAATAATTTCTTCTTCCTTTCTTGCATACGTGCATTAATCTTCTCAGTGTCATATTTGGAGCTGATAACAAATTAAGTGTTCCAAAGCTGTAATCCGTTAATAATGGAACAGGTTGTCCTCATAAGTTCCCTGCATTTTAAGAATAGAGCTAGGTTCTTTTATTAGTGACTATTATACAAAAGGTCACAGCAACTTTTTATCTATTCCATGGTAGAGTAAGAAAAGTTAGGATCCCTTCTTCTTGGTTATGAGTGCCAAATTCTGCAGATTACTGAAAAGAAATGTGCTGTTTTTGTATCATAAGGCAACTGTTAAATTCCACTAGATTTTAGTTTGGGGGGAAACTTGCTCTGAGATTTGTTTTGTTACCTTTTATTATCTCTAAAGCATTTGAGGATGGACAAATTCTTCTGTCAGGCAATATGCTGATCAGTCTTGGAGACTGTACTTTAGTTTCTGTCAACTTCAGCTGTAAAATTGCAGACTCTTTACTATCCCAGCTTGCTCCAACACTGTTCTTGGTGTCTCTTTTTAAATAGTCTAGATCAGTGGTTCTCAACCTAATTAGCATTGTGGGCCGCATCCAGTAGTACTTGTATGGCCTTGTGGATGTGACATGGACCACAGCTCTGTGCTGATCAGGCTGCAGGTTGAGAACTGCTGGTCTAGATGTGGTAAGGAAATAAGATTGCATACAATTCTCATTCTTTTAAAATATTTCTCTGAAGTGAACTTTGTGTTGGTAGAAGGTGCTTGTTGGGCAACAATAGAGATTAAAATACTCTGTACAGAACAGCAGCACAACTTTCTCCAACTCAGTCTTTCAATAAACCTCTCAGACCTGAAGAGCTGAGAAGTAAATCTCCAGTCCTATTACCTCTGTAGCTTGTCTACTGAAACTACACACTGGCTTTAGTTGTGGTATAGACACTTGATGGGTAAGAAATCCAAGAATACCAACTCTCATTTTCCTACTAGCCACCAAATAATCCTCTGATATTTAAGGGACACCAGTTTTGGCTTCAATAAAATGACTAGATTTCAAGTGTCTGCACACGTGCCCGTGAGTTCTTATGCCAAATCTTGTGGTTCTACAATCACATTTCCTAGTTCATTTAAAAAAAAAAAAAAAAAAAAAAAATTTCTATGAAAAACCTACACTAACAGAGCATGACTGTTTCTACATGGGAAAGTAACAATGAAACGGACTACAACAAATTATCAGATATACAAAGGAAACTGGGAAAGATCTTATTATTTTATTTCTGTTACCATGGTTATAAGACTTTTAGCCCCTATAGATATGGCTTACAGCCATTCAGATTCTAACAGTCTCACTCTTTAATTGGACTTCCTTAGTTCTCCTGGGTCAGCTAGATAATTCCTGAGTTTGAACCAAATTAAATTTTACTTGAAAGTGTTTTTACCCATTCCCAGCTATGGATTCAAGAAAGCTAAAAGAATCTAGAAAAATTTCAACGTTGGTATTCTCATATTTCTTGTGACTTGGCCATTCGGGTGCTCATTATGCACCTAATTTTACATTTGTGATCCTCCTACAAACTTGTTTATTTATAGGGATAGTTTTTCTTTTAAAGATACAACTATCTTCTGTATTAAAAGTCAGTGGAGCAATAAAGGTCCATAATTTATGGGCCAGCAACTAAAACAGGAGTATCATTAATCCAAAAAATACAAGAAAATTAAAGTGTTATGTTTTGGAATGCCATCTGGGCATAAA